ATAATATATATATATATATATATATATATATATATATATATATACACACACACACTCACACACACAAAATATGTAGACAAAATACATATTTTAAATATATATTGTTATAAATATTATATAACAATGTATAAATATTATATTGTTATTTGTGCCACTTTTTATCTACCACCAAGGAACTACTAAGCTGTAAAAGCACTTTTTATTTCTTTCATTCTTTGATTTTGATGCCTTTTCTGAACCAGGACTGCCACAGGGGCCCTCAAAAGAAAAAAGCAAAACTAACAGTCATTGCGTTAAACTTAATATTTCATCTTTTAGTTCACAGCATAAACTAGATTATTTTAGCAACTTCCTTTAAACGCAGGCTATAACTGCACATTTACTGCTAATGAATTGCTCCGGGTATTGAGCCGTTTACTGCACCATTGAACTTGATGCAAAGATTTGAAATAATGCTATGAGACAAGATCTCACAAAACTGCTTATATGGAAAACCTAATGGCTGCTATAGATAGAGATTTCTTACTTTAATGCTAATACCTTATCTGGAAACCGCTGCATATCTGTAGAGTCCACCACTTAACCCGACCTCAGAGTTTATAAAGTGTATCAGAACGAAGAGCCTCTTTTCCCTGCATTTACCTCTCTGTTACCTTTTAGCATAATTACTGCACCATGTTTAATGTCAGCTCAAATACCATGCTAATCAGCATCAGAAAAGAGGTCAGACTGTCTTACAATTGTTGCCGGCGTTTGAAAGGATAAAAGCCTGTGCTCGATTCTGCATAACAGCAGATCCTCTGGTCTCTTCTCACCCCTCCTTTTGTAAATCACAATGACAGATTAAAGCAGGAAGGTTGTGGTGTGATTAACAGCAAATGCTGGACAAAACTTTAAATTAAACACAAATTACCTGCTTGCAGGACTCAGATGTGCTTGTAGGAACGAGCCTTGTGGTTTGAGAAGATGACGATCAGTGGATCCATAGAAAATGGCTTGTTATCTATGTGAAACAAACAGAAGAGAAGAACATTGCTCATTTACTGGTGCTGTGACGAGTGAGTAAACATGAGCTACCAAATCCTCCTGTTGAGAATTCTATTTCCTGTTCTTTTTTTATTGGAGGAGGCAGCCGTGGGTGCTCTGGAGAGTAGTGCATTATGGGATTCCATAGTGCTCAAACACAGAGGAGGCCTAATTGGCTCTCAATGAATGGCCATAACCATATATCACAAACCCCATGCCCAAGCTAACAGCCAGCTGAACTATTGCTGCCGCAGTTGCCTTTCCCTCATGTGCGCACGCTCGTATCCCAACTCATTCTGAGACAAATATTAACACAAACAACATGTTTACACAGGAGAAAGAGATGAACAGCTGCATTCACGAGTCACAGACACAAAAGCAAATTCGCATTTGAACACACAACTGTACACGCAATCCAATACGAACACAGTGAGGAAAAAACACCCATGGCGGTTCATCGTGTGCTCTCTGGCTGTGAATTCACGCTGCCTGCACAGCAGACGGGTCCTCGCGTAATTTTATTAGCACTCAAGGGTAGGGGAAGAGGTGTCTGCAGGGAACACAGCCACTTCGAGAATATAGGATCTGACTAATGCCCTTTTCTTTCTGTTAGTGTGTGCTTGTGTGCTTGAACTTGTGTGTTGTAACCTTTGTAGTGCTTATATACTTGCTAGACTCCATCAATACACCCAGAGGATAACAATATCGCTCATTCACTTAATGGAAATCTTTCATTTCATTTGAAGTATCAACTTCATCCCAGACGTTTCTCCTCATATGCCTTAGGAGAATGATTCAATTGTTGATATTATGAAGGCAGAATAAGGATTCACTTATACTGAAATTCTGGCAGATACCATTAAGTCAGAAATCATTTGTCATGTTATAGATGATAACCAAGAAATGTCTGATAATAAAAAAAACCCTACTATTTTAATTTAAAAAATTATAAAATGTTTAATACAAAAAATATATTAGTTTTGTGGTTTGTGAAATTAAATTAATAGTAATTAAGTTATTAAACGATAACATATATAGACACATATATAACATATATATAACATATATACACACATATATAGAACTATAAATTAATGTGCATGGCATAATGCATGTAATTTGCTCTTCAAAGAATTTGATTTAAAAACAAATGCAGAATTTGGCAGACTTTAAAGGCATTGCAAGTTGTTGCTGAGATGCCTTCAGAATCTGAGACACACTGGTGTGAGATTTCTTTAAAACTCCAACTGTTCTCAATTTAATGTCATTGCTGTCTATACGAAATACTTGAGATATTGAAGATTTCTGATTTTGACATTTGTTTCCCACTGGAAATCAAAACAATGCACTAAACAAGACTCTTATTTTGTAAGACACCTACTTTGATTCCAGTATGAATGTTTGTGACATTCTGGATGCAAAATATCTGATCCTCAAATCCATAAATCAGACAACACTAGACATTTATCTAATTCACCTCTCGAAGATCTTGAATGTGATGTGCACACACAGTCTGTTTCTGCCCTGGTTTCCTAGGAAAAGAAGTCACAGATCAGGGCACAGGAAGAGAGAGCGAGAAGGAAAAAAAGGGGGGAAGAGACAGAAACACTCTTCTCTGACTGGGTCTTCACAAGGAGGAGTGAATCCGTGGAGGGGGAAGAGAGAAAGAATGTCTGCTCATTATTCAGCCTGGCACTCGAGGCCACAGAAAATAGCTCTCTTCATTTTTCTTGTCAAGCTGTGGCTCTGTTAATGGTGTGTTCTCAGTCAGTGGTGAGACAAAAGGGTGGCTTTAGCCGGCACCAGGCATGTAGAGAGTCAGGATAAGCACTACAACCCTTTCCGATGACCGCTTGCTCTGTCGGTCGCCGACCGCCCGCAAAGGACTTGAGATAAAACACCTTAAAGAAAGCTGGCCTCCTTTTAAAGGGGCTGCATTCCTCCATTGGAACTAAATGAGCTTCCTGCCTTAGAGACAATTGCCAATTTTCCCACTTTTCCTCAGTAAATCTTACCCTAAATTTCTGTGAAAACCTTCACCGTGGCAGGATCATCTGGGTAATAAGAAGAGCTGAAATAGCCATGTTCTATTAGAGAGTAAGACTGATTTATAAGCATCGCATGCAACTGTGTCCGGTCTTTCCTCCATTTGGCTCATGATTGGTCTAATTCAATGAGCTAATAAGCTGAGCAGCTGTGACTCCACTGTTGGGCTTCATGTGCTAAGATGAAAGTGGACCGGCCATCATTATGCACATATATTACCACACCAGTGACGGGAACTTGTCCATTTGCATGCATGGACAAGAATGCGATGCAACAATTCCAGTGAGAACTCATGGATTATGCATCTGTATTGACAAATACATTGTGGGATTACTTTTTTATGATGGATCATGGATCCTACCAACCATATGGACAGCTTATATGCAAAACAGGGAAAATTTATGAGGTTACACAATCACAATAATCAGGATGACAGCAAATCAAGTCATCTATATTTCTTGAATGAAGTCAGGACAGCCACGACAGAGTCCAGTGTTACAGGCACATATTGTTAGGCATTCTCAGAGCATCTGTCTTCCGACATTCTCTAAATCCTGCATTAAGCATTTGACAACACTGCTGTTTGAGAACCTACTCTGCATTCGAATATACCTACTTCCCTACTATATAGTATGGAAAAAGCAATGTGTCAAATGAATACAGCTTACAAAAAATATCAGACCCAAAACTGGTGAGCTGCCTATGGAGGAACCTCCTAAAATACCATGTTTCCTTCTCATTCTCAATTTCACATTCACCCTTCAGGTCATCACATTGCCGCTGCATCCGAACGCTCTAAAATGCTGCCTTCGGAGTAGGGCTGTGCGATATTGAAGAAAAATGCGATATGCGATAACTCGTTAAATAATGCGATATTCGATATTCATTATTGCGATACAATAATGCTTAAAGTGCCACATGCTCAGATGAAACAGTTTTACTCAGCTGTTGCTGAGTCAGTTCTGTGAACTTCTATAACTATCTTGTGTCATATATATATATATAAATATATATATATATATACAGTATGGTTATTTGTATGTATGTATGTACCAAGAGTTCCTGTAAAACCACAACAAATTCCTTGTGTTTGCGCACACTTAAGTGGTGAATAAAGCTCATTCTGATTTTGATTCTAATAAGAAAGAATCTAATTCTAATACAACAACTTCTAAAGTGAACGGTATGTGTTTTACTCGAGCATTACATAAAAATGTCATTTTAACATTAGTGTAATCATTTTAACATGAGTTTAGGAACTGAATAATAAAAAGGAAAAATAAAACACTGCTTAGTATTTACTCTTTGAATTCAATATGCACTGATTCTTATTTAAGCTACAAAAGTTATTTAGGTAAGAGCAGTGAGTGATTTTCTCTTTGTCTTTTGTTCATGGCCCCAAATATTGCAAGCTGTAGTGATATGCATATTGCGATATGTACATTTGCGATATTTCGATAATTTCTATATATTGCACAGCCCTACTTCGGAGGCAGCATTCTGAGGCACGTCTGAATACAAATTCTGCTTCACTTCCTGTCTCCGGAGGTACCTTCTTCTGATCTAATTTTGAAGGCAGCATAGATGTATCCTTCGCTGTCTTTGAGCTAAAAAAATAAAGATGGCGTCTGAAAGTTGCGTTTGGTGGTCAGTTTGTGTGTAAATGTACTGTATGTTTCTGACTAACTTTTTGCACTTTTGATGCTATTTCTAGTGAGAAATCAGTATTATAATAATTAAATATTTGTTTAGTTATCATCAAGGCCTGCAAAGTCATTGCCTCATGAGGCAGCGAGGCAGCAAGTCAGCTGCCTAGGTTTTCGGACGCAGCCTGCGTCACATCTCATCTCATCTCATCAGGTCATTGCATTGCGATGATCCCAGCAAAAATTAAATAAAATAAAATAAATAAAAAATAATAAATAAAAAATACAAGTTCAAGATGGGGACAAGAGAAATGTTATACTTATTTATAATTCTTAAGTATCCTTATAAGTAATTAAAAACTGCAACATGTGGATAGAAATAGCTTAGTGTATTTTTTTTTTTTAATTATTATGATTGTATGCTACAGCATATGCTTATAACTGCCCATTCACTTTTTTTCAGGCATGGTTACAGTAATTGTTTCATACATTTTTCTCAAAAGGGTTAAAAATATTGTTTGTACAAACAAACAAACAAAAATAAATAAATAAATAAAAAGAATGAATAAATATACATACATGTATATACATATATATATATATATATATATATGTATGTACGTGTGTGTATTTATGTATAAATATGAATATACACATAGTACACACGCATGCATCACGTAAACACAAACTTTTATTTTGGATTTTTCTTCAGCAAAGTCTTGCATGGTGAGCGTGTATACAGGCCATGGCGGTTGAGTGCATTACTTATTGTTTTCTTTGAAACAATTGTATCTGCTAATTCCAGGTCTTTCTGAAGATCTCTGAAGTGGTCCTTGGCTCTTAGAAACCTCT